TCATCAGATAAAGCCCAAATCAGAAACACCCTGTTTATAAAGGGACAGGGGACTATATTCTTCAAAAATTCAATGACACAAAAGCAATAAGGGCCAGTGAAAAGCTTCCATTAAAGAAACTAAAAGAACATGAGAACCAAATGCAATCCCTGAGCCTACACTGGCTCCTGTACTGGAGGGAGGGGAAATGCCACTAAGGACATTTGGGGTTGAGTGACAAAACTGGGACAAGGGTATCAGATTGGACACAAATAATTGCATCAAGGCTAAATTTACTGATGTTTCAGAAGTGGACTGTGCTTATATATCTGGTGAGGTGTCGCTCCATGAATTAGTATTAAACGTGTTTTGGGACAGGATTTGTCTTAATAGTTTTACAGAGCTTTGCCCTGAAAGAATATGTGAACGTGTTGGTTTGCATTTCGAATGCTGTTATACTCGGAAGGGCGTCTCTGAAAGGCAGTAGCGGCTGTATCCCACGAGGCACCACGTTTCTCAGACCTAAAGAATTGGATTTGCTTTGTAAAGCACAAGCGAATCTGTTAAAAACTAGGCTGAGAGCTGACAATGGAGTGCCCTCCAGAACAAACAGCTTCCCGGAAACGACAGCTTCCCGAATGGCTAAAAGCAAAGCTTTTGTTTAAACCACTCTAGACTACCTGTCTCCATTCACGATAACCTAATAAACATGGAGCCTACATATCTCTGTTTAACCCCTCTGTTTAAATGATAAACTTACCTTAGAATTTAGAAATTAACCTTTGAAAGACTTTGTAACCGTTTGCTCATGTAAATAGAATTAGTTAAAGAATCTGTAGAAGCCTTCTGTAAAAGCCTTTTAAAAATCTGTTAACCTGAGAGGAACTACCTGTTGTTATGTAAATCTGTTACCCCTGACAATTGTTCACTATTTCCTGTAAGTTGCCATGTAAGACCTCATTCGGGGCTTTTGAGACCAACAGAGAGGTCTGAGCCCCCTGAGCTCCCGCTTTGCCTATAATCTTTATAAACTTATAAAACTATATCTTTGTCTCAGAGTATTCTTTTATTTCTTCCATTTTCCATTTCTCTCTATTATTTTCTTATCCCTTGCAACTCTACCAAAGGGACCCGGTTTTTTGCAGGGAACACTGGCCACGTTCCCAGCAGTGAGGTTGGTTTATTCCAGCCAGGATGGACATAAGCCACAGATAAAGCCGCATAGTCCCCCTTTCTGAAGCACATTATGATAAAATATATATATAGCAACATCTGTTTTACAGTGAACACAATATTCACATAACTGCTTAAGATTAAAGATAACTCAATGGTATCGGCCCCCTAGGAGTCCTTCATATTATCCCAGATCCTAAGAACACCACTTACTGCCCTGAGAAATGTCTCTAGGCAGGTCAAGAGAGTTTGGGCATCTCTTACCCAAGCCCTGGCATGTGGATGGTCCCCATATTTCAAGGCCCTACTCAGATGATGCCTCCTCCAGAGGCTCCCCACTTACACTCTGCCTGAACCTTCTCTTCATCTACCTTAAGCTTTTATGACTATGTTCCTCCTAACAATCATTTGTGAACTACCCTCCTCCAACACAGCCCTTGGAAATGAATCCCCACACTAAACATGGTGCCTCGCACTTTGGAAAAGTCTATTGAATGGAACTAAGCTAAGATGAAGGAACATGCACATGTTTACCATTTCACCCCTTTCCTTCTTCACAGAGCGGGACAATGTTGTCACTTTCTAACATGAAACCCACACTATTTGCACCATTTCCTCAAATGGACATCCTGCCCAGGAATAGGACAGCTAGTTCTAAAGTTGGATTGTGTTATAATCAATCTGATGAAACTTTTTGGGAGCCAGATGTTCAATTCTTTGGTATGAGTAGAAAGAGGGACTTTAAAATCAGTTTATGGCTCAGAAAACACTAAGGGAAACTCAAAGCAAAACATTTCTGTTAAAGTATTACCATGACAAATTAGACAAACCACTGTGCAACCTACAACTGGTCAACTAAAATGGAAAACACTACCTCACTGGGGCCTGAAAATACTCTACACCAGTGTTATGGGCTGAATTATGTCCTCCCACCAAAATTTGTATGTTCAAGTTCCAACCTAATCTAACAGCAGCTGTCTGCATGCCAAGAAGAAAGGCCTCAGGAGAAACCAAACCTGCCAACACCTTGATCTTGAACTTCCAGCCTCCATAACTGTGAAAAAATACATTTCCATTGTTTAAGCCTCCCAGTTTGTGGTACTTTGTTATAGCAGCCCTAGCAAATTAGTACAGCCAGCAAAAATTACATACGAATTCCCCTTCCTTCCAGGCAGTTCCAAGGTAAGGTCTGTATCCAAAATTAAGCCATCAGAGTTGATGGCGACACTCAACCCAATTAACAAGCAACACTTCACCAAGCTTCATTTAACACTAAAATGAACAAAAGATCACATTTTTCCCCACTTAATTGCTACTGTCCTGACATTTTCTTCCTACACTGACCAGTATCCATCAGTGTTCTTATCAGAACTCCTTTTTGTCCTACTTTTATCCAAGGAACTGATAAGGAATTTCTTTCTACTAAATTCAACTCTCTCCTTTATTTTCTCCATCTCCTTCTGATGAGAAGGCATCATGCTGACATCTTGCAATTACTGCCCTTAACCAAACAACAGCTTTTATCTTTCCCGACTGGACACTGACCCATGCTTTTAGTAAGCACAAACAGGATACTGCACTTCAGAAGCATCCTCAATCGTTTTGTTGCAAAAGCATGCTTCGTGGTGAAAGAGCTGGTGGCTTTTCGGGTCATGCCACGCTTTATACAGGATCCCAAGCTCCCATTTGCAAAGTGGAGTTTTCAACTAAGGCTCCTGAGCAGTGGACGATCTAACCCACTATAGAGACTCGGGTGAATTTTTCACTGAAACTGCAAGATTTCAGACAAAACAGCACGTACTCGTCCCTGATGCCTATGTCGTTGCCTCTTCCTTTATCTAAAGAAGCAGAAATGGAACTGTGCCCCCCTCCCTTACAGATTGAATGAAATCAGAGGTTTTTAAGTCCATCCTTGGATAGCTCCATGTGATTTGTAAACTATTTTTCACAGGAAAGTTGTCACTAAGAGGATGTGCTAGTAATGGCTTGGCAAGATGAAAATGGGGGTCTTGGGAGACCAGGCAGTGCCTTAAGGGTACAGGAAGAGGGCTGGGGCAAGGGCCCCTGGGAGATGAAGAACACACTCCAGCCACCTGAGTTAATGCGACTTTCAGGGAGAACAATTTACCTACAAACATTCTCCACTAGTTTGAGTGCAAATGCAAGCATTTTACATCAAACAAATAGGCTTCTTGCCAATACAGTAAAGCTTAGCTTACTGAATACTTCTTCATACAAAGAGCCAGCATTCATCAAGCTCCTGGTGTATTCTGGACACTATACTTCATACACTGACACAAATCAGAGTATTTCAAAATGATACAGGGTTCAGCCTGCCCTTGAGAAGAAAAAGTACATATGCAGCTAAAGCCAGGCCAGGAGCACCCATTCTCTTTGTGGGGCCTGGGACAAAGAAAGGCCCACACAATTACTTTAAAATGTTAATAAAGCTAGCAAACTATCATGTCATCCTCCTATGACAAAGGTAGCTTTATAACAGCGTGCAAGGCCAGGTACAATTTAGAATTCCCAGAGCCCTCAGGGTTATGGACCAGAAGAGAAAGAGCAGCCCTGGCAATGGACAGACCCCTTCCCTCCCCACCCCGGCTCCCTCCCTCCTAAGGGGACCTCTTGGACACACATGTGGACTCCCCACCCCCACCCCCCACCCAGCCCACATTTCCAAGCTCTTCCACAACCCCAGCAAATAGCTGCCCCTTTGCTCACTCCACAGGCAGGTGTGCCTGCCCTTCTAGGGTTCAGGCCGTAGACGGAGGCTTGCAGCCCTTTGGGCAGGGAATTCCATCTGGGTCTTGGGGGTAGCCAGCCCCCTTGGATCTACAGAATCCCAGCCCAGTGGGGAGGGCACGGCCTGCTGAAGGCCAGAAATGGCCCTCTAAACCCAAGGGCTAAGTGCAAGGGGGCTCCTTCATCCAGGTCTGAAGGCAGTACTGGCTAAAAACCTCCGTTTTATACTAATTAGATCCACTTTTCTTTCCTTGAAGCCTTCTGGGAGGGTGACACCTTATACTAAAGACAAATAGACAGATGGTATAAGAGAGGATTCCTGCCTGGAAGGGATAAGAGAAAAAAGTTGTAATACTTGTAGTTATTTAGGGAAAAAAAATCAACAGCTAATATCACAGTCTAAAAGGAAAAGGTACTGAGATATTCCTCAAACAGCAAATGGATCGAACAGTGTTCTAGAAATTCCTAAAGGTGGGATCCTGGCCTTATGGCACAAATTAGGCAAACCTTTTAAGGTTTACTGTTTACTGTTTTCTTTCTGTTTTTGAAAGTAGGTGGGTCCTACCTAGACCTTTGCAGAGAGACCAAAGGAGCTGTATGAAAACCGCAGGAGACAGCAGGGCGGGAGAATCAAACCCCAGGAGGGGCCTGAGTCCCTCTGGGCGGGGGAGCTTTGGGTCCTCTGCAAACAGACAGGCCTCGCCAAAGGGACCCATGGGAGGCAGGCGTAAGGGATCACGGAGTCCGGAGAGTTGCTACTAGCATGGGCGTCACCCCTACAACTGACCTGGTCTCGCTTTGCCTTTTCTCAATCATGGCAAATTTGTCAATTTTCTGGGCCTCTATTTTTAATTCTGTAGAATGGGGACATCACCTGCCCACATCACAGGTGGAGGTGCCCGTAAGAACCCAGTACGGTCCAGCACATGGTTAGCGCTCAATGTACTTCATCTAGAACTGAAAGCTCGAGGGTCAGAGCGAGAGCTGAACCCAAGACGGGACACTGGGCTCGGCGGACCAGGCGCGGCGGGGTCAGGGCGGGCGGAGGGCTTGGGAGGGGAACTCCTGGGTCGCGGGGGTCGGGAGACGCAGCCACTCACCCAGCAGCAGCAGCTTGAGCTCGCGGCGCGCGTCCTTCTTGTCCCGACGAAGCTGCCGCTCGATCTCCGCGCTGATGCGCTGCGATTCCTTCTCCTCCGCCGACAGACAGCAGCAGCCGGCCATGGTGCGCTCGGCACCCGACGGGGCGATGCGGCCCGCGCGCCCAGGTACTCCGCCCGGCCTGTACGCGGCGGGCACGGGGGTTTGGAGAGAAAAGACGGGGGCGGATCTGAGGTTCAGAGTAAGAGGCCTGGACCCCCTCGAGGGTCGGCTCTGAGGCTTGGGCGAATCCCGAGAGCTGGGATCGCTCAAGTGCACCCCGGATCCGGGCTCGCCCAGCCCCACACTCGCTCCGGGGAGGAGGAGGGCGAGCTAAGAGGTTGGGAGCGTTGCTGGCCCCAGGAAGATGCGTGCGACTCTCTTGGCGCAAGAGCCGACGGCCAGTCAGGGGGGCGCAGACAGCGCGTAGAAAGTTGGGGCGTCGGTTCCCCGGGAGAGAGTAGAATCCCCCGGACCTGGGGTGTCCCAGGCGGGCTGCAGGGGCGGCGTGAGTTGGAGGCAAAGGACCTGGCTAGCCCTTGCCTGGAAAGTCCCGAAAACCTCAGCAATGACCGCAGACTAAGACGGAGTGGAAGGGTTTCCGCTGGCGCTCGCGGTTCTAAGTGGCAGGAGGAGGCGGAGCGTCTCGAACCTGCAGCCCTGGCGTCTGCCCGAGTTGGGCACTCCAAGCCGATGGCGCTTGGGAGCCAAAGGGAGCGAGCAGGTAAGTGGGGGCGCGGAGCCGGGGGCCCTCGAGTCTCCACGAACAGCCCCCGAGACTGCCTCGCTGGCTGCGGCGTCCCGGCGCGGGGAGGGCCGCCTGCCGAGATTGCTGCAACCGGCGCACTCTGGCCGCCAAGTCCTTCTCCCCGCCAGATCCGGGTTCTGACAGGTGAGTGAGTTTCGCCAACTCACAGCCTCGTGGAGGCGGCGGCAGCGGACTGAGAGAGGAGTGAGGCTGAGCCGAGCGTCTGCCGCGGGACACAGAGCGCCAGGGCGAGGCCGAGGTCTCCACTCCGATCTCGAGTTGAGACTTGCACACCAGCCCCCGCACTACACGGACCCGGCTTTCCTAGACGGGCTCCTTCCGCTTCCCGGACGCCCAGCCCAGCTCGGGCTTGGCCAAAGCCCTGGGTCAGCTCGGGAGGCCGCCTGTAAAGAGCGGCTGGGCCCTTGAGGAGCCGCCACTGGGTTCAGTTATAAAAAGTGCAAGAGCCGAGGGTAAACAGCACTTCCTTCCCAGCCCTTCCTACGCCTCCGGGGCAGGGGAGGTGGGGAAGCAGTGAATGGAAAGTGGCTGGATGCTTTGCATCTTATGGTGGGAAAGAATTCTGCTTTGTAGAAAGAGCTGACACGTTCTCGGTCGCACCTGTCAAGTTCCCTGCCCCAGCCCTGAAGCCTGACAGCCGCCTTGCCATTGTGTCTGCGCCGGCACGTTGGCCTGGCTCCTGGGACGTCGGGGTCATGTTTGAAAAGCATTAATAAAAACTTAAAAATTAAAAAGCTCCTCTTTGTATTCAAGTAGCACGATAGGATGCAGATTACATCGGACTTTGGTCTGTGTAAATTTTGATGCAGAAAAGGGGAGATGCAGAAAAGGGAAGGTGGCCAGAGAGGACCCTGTCGGCCACAGCAATAAATGTTCTTTTCCTTCTCTTCAAATCTGCTTGTGCCATGTAAACACTTTATGGTGTGAGGCAATTAGCTAATGCTTCCTCTAGTAAGAGCAGCCTTAAGTGCCTTTCATATGAATAGCATATATTTTATCAATTCAAACTGATGAGCATATTGAGTGGAGTGGTATGTGTCATTATATAAAGAACTTGGCATTGTGGTGCTATCTGCCTGCAAGGTCTTATTATTTATTTTATAGTTTAAGAAATGCAGACAAATTGGGCATTGCAAATCAATGTGCATGCATTCTTAAATGCATGACTATTTTAGTTTCTTTGCAGGCATAAATTAACAGTAACAGTGACCTCTACAGGAAAACCCCTGGACATTTCTAATTGGATCGTTGGCTATTTAATCATTTGTTGTCCCTCATAGCTCTTACAGATGAATCTGCAATTAGAGAATAAGACCCCTTGGCTTCTCAAAGTAATGAAGGGTTGCATCATAATTATTAGTATTTTTAAATGATTAAAACTAAGGCAAATTTGAACCCTAAGTTAACTGGAATAACTGACCTGCTAGGTCTAAAGCTGCTAAAATTTCAAGAGTTATGGAACATACTGATTATGGCAAATCTGCACAACTTTCCTGGGGTGATCAACTTGGCAATATGTATCTGAAACCTTAGACATATCCATCCCCTTTAACCAAACCAGTAATTCCTCCCTGAAGAAAGAATCACAAAGAAGCCTCACGATTTATATGCAAAGGTTTTGTACCTAATGACGACAAAAATTCAAAACAACCGACATGTCCAACAACAGACAATAGGTCAAATCAATTATGGTTTATCCATACAATGAAATTATGTAGCCATTAAATATGTGAATATGTGAGTAACAAATATGGGAACAACAACGAAAGATTTGGGGAAAATCCTCAAAATATGTTGAGTGAAACAGGCAGGATACAAAAATATAAACATTATGCTACAAATTTGACTGTGAGAATACATATGTATTTTTAAGAGAGTAAGGGAACATACATCAAAAAAGGCAAGTTTCTCTGATTCACAGCTGTTGGGTTGATTTTAATTGTCTGCTAGAAAATTATTTGGGGCAACTTGCATAAAGTTATTTAGGCTCCACTTTCCTTCACCATAAATGAGAGGGATAAATAAGAATAAGCTCAAAGGGATCACCCAACTCTAATATGCAATTATGTCTTTGATAATTTCACACTTATAAGAAGTTTATTTAAAAATAATCACAAATTTAAAGTTGTTATTAAGCATTGGCAGCTGGTGAGAAATATAAAACTGGGACATCACAAGTCACTTATTTTTATACTTGTACATTTTATTTATCTCTATTTTTCTTATCTTTAGAATCTGGAGGGTAGGATAAGAATAATTTTAAGTTATGAATTAGTTTGAAACATCTTTCCAGGAAAGGGTAGTTTGGAAAAGAGTTCTTAGTAAAAAAGAGTATTTGTTTCCCTAAATTATTTCAAAAATGCTGCGATTCCATTTTATTCCTTTTGCAGATTAGAGCACAAACGAGATATGAGTTTCAGATACCTGCCAAGAGCTGGGCTCTAAGGGTGAGCTAATTGTCTGGTATTCTTCTGAGTGTTTATTGGGTCCATGCCAGCCCCTGTACCAGACACTGAGGATTCAGATAATAAGACAATTCCAGACTTTAGATAGAGCTATATAGTCTAGTAGAAAAAAGTAAGACTGAGACCCAGAAGTCTGAACCAACCTCTTCCTGCTTCCTCCCAGAGAACAGTGGGAACGCAGAGTCACCTGGGCCAGGAGGCTGCCGGAAGTCTACAGATGTGCACAGCGAACCCTCCGCAAACCTCCCTCCGGCTCAGCCTCATCTCCCGTCACTCTCCCAGAACTCCAGACAAAATGTAACTTCGAGTTCGCCCCATCTCATGGCTCAGTGCATGCTGTTCTCTCTTCCAGGAATGCCGTCTCTCACCCCAAAGTTAGGTCATTTCTTTTCTAAACACATCTCTTCTGAGAAACCATCTCGTCAGTGAGACCCATCTTTTGCTGCTACCTGGACACCTCCCGTGGTCCCCTCTTCAACATTTCACCCTATTACACCCATCTCTGCTCCTAATCCGTGAGTTACAGGGAGAGAGCTGTTCTTGTTCATCCTGGTATTCCTTAATTACCAAATTTTAGTTGACTGAATAAAAATTGACTCCAAGAAGAATTAGTCTGAGATGAGAGAAAAGAAGGTTCCTGTGGTGGAAGACAATGACAAATCAATAAGCAAGTCCACAACAAACAAATGTATGATTTAGGAAGAACTTGTGTATGCGACCTGCACCTAGCTTGCCACTTGCTCTCTTAGAGTAACTGCCCTGTTTCTAGTTCAGAACCTCAAGGCAATGTGCAAGTAGATGGCTAGAAAGAGGTTGTTCTCTTTTACAAATGTATCATCTTAGAATTTTAACAAGTAACATAGAGTAAAAATATGACCTTGAGAAAGTTCCCGAAGCACTAATACTAATGCTCTCTGCTGCTGTATGTCAGCGTTTTTCAGACTGCAGTTGTGACTCATTCCTGGGTTGTGACCAGTTTTTATTTTTTTGTTTAAACAAAAAGAATAGAATATAAAGAGAGAATGTCAAGGCATGCTTCCTATATTATTGTGTCATAAAACTTCTGTTTTAGTTGCATGTGTATCAACTCTTCAGCAAATCCCTCATTAATGGGGATTTGCTTGTTCATATCACTGATGGGTTGTTCCAAACGGTTCCAAATTTTCTAATTCATTTTTCTGAGTCCAACATATCACCAATGTTTGATTCAGTTTTCTGTGTCCAATATATTCCCTAAAATGTTTTGAGTCCTTCCTCCACCTCACTTCTACCTACCTCCCAATCTTCTCTAGTTTGGTAGGTGGGAGTTGACGGAGCAATGGTGGAAAATAGATGAATGAGTAATATTGAAGCTGGTAGTTGGTTGTACTCAACGTCTATTTTTCTAAGGCAGTCTACATGTCAACATGTTGCTTCAAAATACTGTCTTCCTGAAGACCACAAACTGTGTTATGTAACTTCTACCGAAAAGACTAGAGTGACAGACAATGAAGTCTGCCTTCAAACACACCTGACTGTCAGTAGGCAGAAATCACTATTGTTTGTTTTTGAATCTGACTTTTCATGAGAGTCGAGGATCTCAAGAATTTAAGAAATCAAAATCTTTAAAATAGGAAATTTAGAGATTATTATTTTACTTGTTTTCTTTTCCTTTTTGCTTGATTTTCCCCCTCCACTTAATCACTTTCATCCTGAATGACCCAATGGTAACAACCTAGTATATATTTTTCTCTACTTTTTTATGCTCTGATAATTATGTAGAAGCATAAATATACTCATAGACATACATCAACATACACAGAGGGAGTCTTTCATCATTAGTTTTAAACAAGACTATATTACATGAACTTTATATTTTGTTTTTCTCATCCAAGAATACTTTTTGAGAATATTTCTATGTAAACTGGCTTACCTCTGATTTTTTTGTAATGGCCACATAATATTTTGTAATGTGAAAGGACCATATTTTATTCAACTTTTCCCCTTTGTAGGGCATTCATTTTGTTTCCAGTTTTGCGTCACTAAAAACAAAGCTGTAACAACATCTCTGTATATAAATCTTCGTGCACTAGGGCTTTTATTTCCATGGGATAGATTCCCAGGAAAGATATGGATGGGTTGAAGGATACATGCATTTTTCATTTTAATAGATGTGGCCAGATTCCTTTCCAAAAAGACTAAAACAATCCCCATTTCTGCCAAAAATATGCGTACCCATCCCCACCAGCAATAAATATTATTGCTCATTAATTTTTGGCAGCCTGAAGAGAATAAAATAATATTAAAGTGTTGCTTTACTTTGCATTTCCCTGACTGCTTATGAATTTGTTCATCTCTTCATATGCTTGTTAG